CTATAACTTAGTGTTCATTTTTTTCTATTATTCTAGCGAATATCTCGGACTCATAAACTACTTTTTCAAAAGCTTAATCAAATTCGTTATTCCGCATCCGTTGCTGGAGAGAATTAACAGTTTCAGTGGAAATTCAATCTACTTAGTCATTGATGAGTCAAGAAAATTAGTTATATATAACTCGTAATTAGGGAATACATTTAATACAACTTGAAACATTACTATCACATCAGAGGGCGCAGCACTGGGTACGCTTTTAAAAACGTTCCAGATAATGCTTTCAAGACAAGGAAAGGAGAAAACGATTGCATTTAGAGCCTCATGCTTTAGTCATAAAACTTAATTATATATTTATAATCAATTGGCTAATTAGTCAGCTATTTGGTTGCATTTATAAATGTAGCACAGTATGTGCTCATTATTTCAACAGTCAACTCTCTTTTATAGCCACCTGCGGAAGAGCCAGAGAGTAGACGCCTTCTTCATTGGCCCGACTCAGCGGACCATAAGCTAGTCGGAATAGAGCAGCCACGACTCCTACAGCGCGGACAGCATTGGCTGCAGCTTCAAGGCAGATGCGGTCTCGCACCAGCAGGCCAACTTGGGCAATCAGCCAGAACGGCTCAGTAGCCAGCTCAAGAAGGCCAGCCATTGCGTAAACAAAGAGGCTGACGCGATATTGGTGCTGGCGACAAGAAGTGAAGGCGTCAGACTCAGAACCGGTAGTTGCATCGGTACTTTCCGAAATCGGCAGTACGTAGAGCCAGACGGCAAGGAGAGGTAAACAAAGCAACAATCCGAGAAGTGGGCTGAGAGAGGTTGGCAGAATAAATAGACAGATATAGTAGCATAACAGCCATATGTAAAAGTTGACCTTAAGCACTGAAGGATTGGTATTAAAAAGTTTCCAACGTTTTCGGTGAATTTCACATAACCTTGCTTCCCAAAAGCTATTCTCATCCAGGCTGGGCTGCAGTTTTGACCTCCCTTGGGTTGCATCAGCCCCCGTAGCGGGACACGAACCCGGGTTGTGGTAGAGCAACGTATAATTGTTGAGCTTACTTCCATTTCGAGTGAAAGTGTCGGGTGAAGAGATTCGAAGGTCGCTTCCACCATAAGACGACGGCAGATTCCTCTTGACCAGCTGTCGATTGGTTTTACTGGAAGATTCATGCTGACGCTGTTTCCGAAGCAATCTCATCCGATTCCGGTGAAAGCGTGCTAAGCTTTCGTCCGTCATATGACGGACATCATCAGAGCGAGGTAACATCGTAACAACAAAATTCAAGATAACGAGTCAAAAAAACTCACCGGCAATACCTAAAAAGTGGTATATATACTCTACATCTGGCCTCTTTGATCAAGTATAAAATGATTTGGTTAGATAAGGTCATATATCAACTTCTATGCATGTGAGTGTCTGTCTTTGTATTTGTATGTGCATGTTTGTGTTCGCTTATGCACGAATCCCGAAGTGATGGCTCAAAGTAATTAGGACAGTAGAAGGAAACGTCTGTTTTTGGCCATCAAGGTTTGATGACCCCTATCTCTCCCTTTCTACATTTAAGTTATAACCATCACTCCGATTGCGCAAGGTAGGACACGTCTGGTTTTGTTGATGAGCCTTTCTTTTGGTCTCATTGCGAGAGAGAAACAGTGAGCTAAAAGGACAGAGAATTGACTATCATCAGAACCAAAATAAGAAAAGACT